GATCAATGCTAACTGTATCTAAATTCTGATTATAGCTTTCAAGAACTCATATTGCAATACTTTAAATTACAATTACAAAAACAACTATAGTATAAAATAAACAATTTGAATCATTTGATTATATGAGATTATATTACATTACATATATACAGTACAGATACATGCATTTTCTTTTGAAATATATATAAATTTATTAAATATCTATATATGTTCTTTAAATAATTTCAATTTCAGTACATAAAACTGAATTCATTCTAACATATAACCTGTATGTAACACCTTTTAATCAAATGATAATTAAAATCTTTCATATTCAAGTTATCCAATTAAATTTCCTAGCATTATTAATTAGTAACAGCATATTATAGAATTATCAGCAAGCATACATAATTTACTTATTCTTTTCATTTTGGCTAAATTATTTTGCAAGTTTTTATAACACCATATTAATTATTACATTAACCTGAAACTATAGCTATAATGATAATATGTAAACAAGTTAAAAGATCTTGGCTAACACAAGCTCATAAATTGGATATGAATATGAGCCTATTAATTTATATTGCAATAATTATAGAATATAATAAAATAATAATAATAATAATAATAATAATAAAGATCTATCTGTCCATTCTAAATTTTGAAATCAATATAATGCAAAACAAAAAATCAATTTTGCATGGTCTTAGATTTCATATTTTTGAGTATAAGGTTTCATCATTTTAAATTTAAGGCTTCATATTTTATCACTGTACAAAAAAGGTTTTGCCATATGTCTTATTCTAATAATTTGTATATTTTAATATATTTTATTTAAAAAATCAATACAAATTTATTTCTATATAATATTAAATTTAAAAGATATTAAAAAATTAGTTTTTTAACAGGCTTGCTTACTAAAACAAATTTAAAAATTAACAAGTATAAAAATAAAACTCTAAAAACAAACATTGTAATTAGGCAATATTTTTACCTGCATTTATTGGTTTTGAGTGATTTAATAATTTAAAAACCAACTTATATAAATAGCTTGTTTATGTGTTTGATAGTTGAGTCATAATGATGTAACTTAATTTGAACCTTTTTCAAGTTTTTAATTTCTTTATTTTTCAAGTCTTTAAAAAATTGTTTTAATGCATTTGCTAATTTATTAGCAGTTGGCTACTTTTGAAACTCAGCATCTAAGCATCTATTCATTAAATTCAAAAGTAGTCATAAAAGAAGTTACAATAACTAATACACTTTATACAGTAAACTTACTTACTTATTATTTAAGAAGCTTGGTTATTTTATTCAAATTACTAAAAAAACAAACAATCTACTAATATTCTCTTTATCAACAATCATATCAAATCTATCAACCTTCAATTATATTGCAACATCCAACTTATTTTCTTATTCAACCATATTAATAAATAAATTAAACATGCAAATGATATTTAAAAACAGCTATACTATGTATGCAATATAAAAAACTTACTGCTTCATTATTAACAATTTTAAAAGCTTTAGAAAAAAGATGCAAAACTCTTGTTTTATATTCTAAACAGGCAATTAACTATATTTTTAACTGTTATTATTAACCTTTCTACTTCTTCAATATTAAAGTTTCCTAACTAACGTATTACTGAACTAAACTCTATTAAACAACATATTTAAAACCATTTTGAAAACTGAATAGCATATAGACTAGTTAATCAAAACCTTTATCAAAACTTTTAAAAACAACATTATCAATTATAATCACATATTAATCTAGAATAGTATCATTATCTTATCTAATCTATTATAACAGATGAAGTACTCAACACAATAATCTAACTTCCCAATAGCAAAGTTTGTGGTCCAACTGGCATAAACTATAAAATTATTAAGCATGTTGGCCCTATATGTATTTATGTTATTATTGCTCTATTTAATTACTGCTTTAATTCTAACTAAATCTTTAAATAATAGAAATAAAGCAGAATTTATTCTATTCTAAAATGCAATAGTTTTGACAGAAACTTCAATTTAACAAAACCTATAAGCTTTATTAAACACATTTGAAAAATCTACATAAAAATTATTACAAATAAACTTAATGCTATTTTTATATAATACTTAATTCTCTCACTATTTAACAATATTACTCTTTCTGGCAATAGTACTTCTATTTCTATTTATATTCTTAATAATTTTATTAAAGATGTCTCATATAATTACAATAGATTTGGCTTCTATTTTAGAACATAAGTAAAGCTTATAACTCTGTTAACTATGCTCTTCTTAAACAATTACTTGACTGACTTTTCTTACCTTTACAGATTATAAATACAATTATGAATATATTTACAAATAAGTACAACCAAGTTATTACTAATCTTAGTTTTATTCTGTTTATAATGATATCAACCAAGATGAACCCATTACACCTCTACTTTGAAGAATTTACTATGATTTTTTATCACTTTAATTTACTTACAATATATAGGCTACACTATGCAAACTTTCTAAATTACTAATCTTAAAGAAAAAACTTTTAATAAGCTTACAACTTAGTATTTAGCTCTTGTATATATAGATGACACTTTCTGAATTGTATTCTTACAAGCTGAGCTATTACAATTCTTACAAACTGCTGAGTTATTTTATGATATAACTAACATTCAAATCAATTTTTTTAAATCTGTTCTTACAACCAATTCCTTACCATCTAATTACAATCCTATTACTTTTAATAACTATACACTTCTTATTTATTTATCTCAAATACTTTTTAAATTTTTTGGCTGCTAGTTTACACTCAATAACAAACATTTTCAACAAATTTAACTTATTCTTAATGAATCCTAACAGCTTATCAAGATTGCTAGTTCTAAACATATAACTAATACACAAGCACAATATATTATTAATACAATTATTATTCTAACAATTGAATATCATCTTCACAGCATTGTTTTTAGTCAAGCTATTTGCAAAAAGATTTTTACTTATCACATTGGCCTTGTTAATCAAAAAGCTAAACTTAGTTGCACAATTCCTATTAGTACTCTTCTTTATCTTTAATTATACAATATTTACAATATTTGAAATATTTAATTATAACATTATATTTTTAACTATATCAAGCTATGATCATTTGCAAATTATAATAAAAATTATAATTAATTAACAGCTAGTAACTATACCACAAATCAATTAATTAAGATCAAATAATTGCAATTAATTTTTCTTCAATAAACTTTTTAGTAGGTTTGGCTATATTTTAGTAAGCCAGTTTTTGATTTTAGTTTTACTATTATGTTTAAGGACTGAAGTAAAATAAAATATATATTTAATTGTTGATATTATCCCTTAAATTGTTTTCCAGGCAAATTTGCCTGGAAAATTAAATTCTATTTAGTATTTTTTAAATAAAATAATAATTTATTAATGATATGGAGTATACTTTGCTTATGAAATATATTCTTAAAAACATATTTTATAAACTTTATTATAAAAATTTTTTCAAAATATTAATAAACTTTTATGTATTAAAATTTTAAAGATTAGATTTAAAAATTTTTACTATCAAAAATTTTTCAAGATTTTTTAAAATTTCATATGTTTCCAAAACTAAAAAAAAATTTTATATTTTGTACAAGTCTAAATTTTTATAAGTAAATTACAAAAGTGTTATTAATAAAAATTGTCATCCTTTATATAAACTAAAATATTGTATTACCGTTAATATTTAAAAAAAAAAAAAAATTATTGTATTAAGAACTATAAGCTTAAAATTAATATTTAAAAAGTTTATCAAAAATTTGTAAAAAATTTTTTTGATTAAAAATTTTTTCTAAATTTGTTTATTTTTAGCTTATAAACAACATATTTTTTTTCTTACAATATAAAATTAAATACTACTATAATATAATCTTTATTTTCAAATATTATCAAATAAAATTTTATTTAAATATATTAAAATTTAAAAAAAATAAATCATAAGCATATTTTTAATAATTTTCCAGGCAAATTTGCCTGAAAAAGCTTACAGATTAAGGGATACATTTTAAGAGCGTTTAAAATTTATTGAATTTTGTGGCTGTGCTAAGGGTAACGTAATCCATTTTATCCAATTGGAGATGGTATTTTACAGTCCAATCAGAACTTACAAAAGCCTAAATCCAATCCATTAAACTTTTAATTTACAAAAATAATACACACATATTTTATTAAAAATAACTTCTATTCATAAATGTTCATTATTTTAGAACACAAACTAAACCGGAGAATGCATTCCCAATTTTGTGCTGATTTGTCATAAGGAAGAGAAACCAAAAGTTAGATTTTTGTTATTATACATATTATACACAAATGTGAAACTCGTAAATTTTAATGCATACTTGAATAACAATTTGGATCTTTTTTGAAACCTATCGTATTCCTTTTTATCATGCATTTTGACCAATTCCTGTACCGGTATGAACACCATTATTGGGGCCGACAATACAATGAAGTAAATGTAGTAGGGTACTTTATACAATAATATTGTTGGCCCTATCACTAGTGATATCGTAGTAAATATCGCTTGCAAAATTACGCTGTTTGGTTTTAAAATTACAACGTATTAACATATACAATGATTCAAAGATAGTTGAAAAATAATAGTAACGCAATCCAAATAATACCTTGCAATAAATGCCAAAACCCACACATGATTCCACAACGGATTGAATTTACGTAATGATAATGTGCGGTTTACAAAAGTACACGATATACAAGCTTAAATAAATTGCATCAAACATTGTGCAAGCAAAATAATTAGATTGATTTTTTTTTAAAAAAAATAATAATTGTGGCGACTTATGCTGAAATTTAGTGTATCTATTTAAATTTATAATACCTACCAAAATTCAAATATGCTTTTTTATTAATAATACTACCCCTAACTAGGCCACAAAAAGGCCTTCAAAAAGTTTATAATTTCATAATAAAATACGGCAAAATTTCAGCAGAAGCTGCCACAATAATAATCAATTTAAAGTCTATTCTTACCTAAAGACCATACGAATGTAAACAATGTATAATTTTGTGCATATATAAGTACCCATTGTTGTTCATGAGACCATCTCAACCATCCATCATTTCCAAATGATCCGAATAATTTCACATTACCGAAATGATAAAGACACCTGAAAAAAATATGAATAAGAAAAAGTGGAATAACCAATTGTTTGTAAACTTTACGTACAGAATAAACATGCCAAGAGACATTAACACTGGTAGTGAAAATCTTAATATAAAATAACATAGAAATCTTGGCAAATCGGGAAGATGATCGATATTTTTAACTGTAATATATACAGCAATATTAGTAAGGTTATAAATTTTAATTAAAGAATTATTTAACAATGTCGAACCTGTCATTATTGTCATAGTATCTGCAACATGAGGACTAAAGAGAAATGAAAATGCTAGCATAGGTGAAATAATGCACGTAACCCATAATATTTGATATCCGGTAAATATAGGTGGTAGGAAAAGAAAGTAAGATAGCACAAATAAAAGTGAGATAGAAAGATATGCGCCGCCCATAAATGACACTCCCTACAAAATCATTATAAACAATACTAAGACTTTGTGATTAGATAAATAGTTAAATAAATAATACTTACCATTCTCAGACCGTTAATTAATCGCCTAGATTCGCGTATTATATCGGTGAGAGCATACAGACTTGTATCATAATGCATAAATAGCCCACATGGCAAAGTCGTGAACGCCGCACCAAGTGCCATTGGAGATCGCCCTTTAGTGCCCAAGTGACATAGCCCATTCTTGGTTTGTGCACGTGTGTGCATAGGTTCAATAGCAACACTTACATCTGCCTGAATGTGGCCCAAAAAATCACGCATGAAAAACCTAAAATATTGCTTTTATTGTTTTATATATGTGTGTGCAATCAAATTCATACCACAGCAAAGCTATGTGTATTAAAAGCGTTCAATGCGCTTCCAACGCAACACACAACCTCTCCGTATTCTTGAAATATTTTAATCATCTCCTGTGTTGTTTCAGGTGTACATTCTGAAAACAAGGATACTTGTAACGGAATATCGTCTGTCTCCTTTAAAATATTAATCAATTCCTGAATCTTGAACAATGAAAAAAAAACTAAACTAAAATTTTGGTACCATTAAATGATCCCTTATATTAACGACCCCACGCGGAAGACGAGCTTTTATATCATGAGACTCCAAATAACCATCTCCAAAGGAATTTTCATCACCAGGTGAAGAAAGCAAAATACAGGTATTCCAATCTGTCTCAAGGCCAAGTCTTTCGGCATATGCTTTAAATTTGTGATTTAAAATAATTAACATATTTGTTTAAATCAGGAATAGTTAAATATTTATCAAACCTTTGCTTTCCCTTTCGGCAGTAGGTGAGAAATAAACAAATCGAATACCAGCTAATTTAAGATCTTCAATGAAATTGCATACATCCTAGCATATATAAAAGTCATTGTAACATTTACCTCAAAGATTTTAAACCATTCCTAAAGTAAAAAAAAAAAAAAAAAAAAACTAACTGGTTTAGGTTGATGACAAAGTGTTGCCATTGCCAAGAAAATCTGTCCCTGAATAACTTCCTGATAAAACAATTCTTCATCCTGTGAAGTTGTATTCTCTTGGTCAAATGAAAAGTCATGAAGGTTTGCTTCCAATAAGCCATTTTTCAGGCGATATAATCTAACTAATTGAGATAAGGAAAGATCCTGATCTTCGGAATCAGATACAAATTCAGCCTCTGGTGGACTTGGCAATACAACATAGGTATCACCTGAATCAGATGATGTCGAGTTTAAAAATGGGATTTTATTTCCATTTACAACATTAATTGGACGATATGCATAAGCAACACATTGCATGTCATTAATAATAGCATTTTGATAAAAATCATAAATCTTATTTTCAATCTACAGATATTAAATAAATTATTCCGTGTAAATGTACGTTTATATTAAAATAAAAAATTTAATTATAGCATTAACTGACCACTTCGCTCATGGCTTGCAGTCCTTGACCATTCCAATAATCGGAACAGTTATCAAGTATAATATCCAAATTTCCATCAGACAGTAATTGACAACTTCCTAACAAAAAAAAAAAGGTAAATTTATAAAAGAGTAATTAATTAAGATAAGGAAAATACATGCCTGAATTTAGTTCTTCGTAAATCGATGAATTCATGCTAGGAACTTCCCATTGATCCTTTGTCATACGCTCTTTTAATGACGGATGGCATGGCGCATTTACAAAGATTTCTTTTCTTTTTACAAAAGATTGTAGAGCATCATCGGTAAATCCAATTTCTTTACCAAGACGGCATAAACATGCTATATTATATAAATTTAAAAAGTTCATTTATATATGATTATGACGCAAATAAATAATAAAATTATATATGATTATTTGTGCTACATTGTCTTGCAGGCTTTATCTTAGCATGAATGTGAAAGCTAGAATTTTTCCTATGCTGTTCGGCGCGTTTTCGTCCTTGCAACACTCCACAATTTGTGTTTAATAAAAGATTAAGACCAAGAGGTTTAAGTCGACTAGAAAATTATGATAAATATAAATCATACCCAATAATAACAAATAAACAAATTCTTATTTTTTTTTTTACATACGATAAATGTTGGTCCCAATCCTGATCCTCAAATTTAACACGGAAAGAGGTACTTGGATCCTCCGCTATGTCAAGAACTGTTATATCTTCTTCTTCGTTTGGAAACAAAATTTGATCAACCGATGCTTGAAAATTTTAAATTATCATTAATAGTAGTCAGTTAATTAATTAGATATTTTATAATTATTACAAAATCAGTATAAAATTATTAAGACTTACCAAATGGCTATAGTTTAATTCTATCAATGAGTTTGAGTAATATATAATAAAGAACCGAGACTCTCATGTAAATCATTAAACAATTACATACCGATGAAATAGTACCTTCACGATCAAGTGAACAAATAACCGTAGCACTTCCAAGCGATTCAAACAAGTTTGTTGATCGATAAAGTGATTCGCCATCTCGTGCTGTGAATAAATGTTGAAATTTATTCCATACAGCGGCTACCAATAAATAAATATATATATATGCGCATATAAAATCATGAATAGGAAAATAAATTATAAAACTTAAAAGTATTAAGTAAACCTCTATCAATCTGAACATTTTTCGTAGGTGGAGGCGCCTCAGCATCAAATTCATCCATCTCATCATATTCTTCATATTCTGTTTCAGATATTTGTAAGGCTTCAAATAAAACCAACAGAGTTGCATTTGCAAAACTACGCGTAATAATCCATAACATTGGAAATGCCAATGGTATTATTGGAATAATTGAATATATCGGCAACACTAACAACATTTCAAACGCTTGATCATAATTATAATTTCCTATCACTTCAGTTAATATGTATCTTATAAGATTAGTTACTAAAGTCACACCAAGTATGACGAATATTATCCGATGAAGAAAGACTCTCTCCAGGACCTCAGCTTGTTTTGCAATGATTGTTGCGGGTCGCTTTTGTTTCAATACAGCCCTTAAGCAATTTGCCCATGGAGTTTCTAAAAGGACAAATTGATATCTTCCTTTATTTTTAATATGCATCTCCCATAAATCTTTTGATGACATTCCACTAAAAAATGAAGGTTTAAAAACTTGGGATAGCTCCAATTGTTTTATAGAAAGTTCTTTTGGGACATTATCAGAAATAAATGTCATTCTACATGGTGCAATATCGCCGTACAACATTTCTACAATGTCACCTTCTACCAATAAAGTCGTTGGAAAACTTCGTACAAGTCCATCACGTACAACTTTGGCAACCGTAAGTGATGGAACAAAAGGTATTTTAATGTCCTAAATCAAGTAAAATGTAAATACATAATTGACAATGGTTTATACACATTTAATTATTATGAATATATAAATTATACCTGGATAGTATTCATTCCACTTTGTTTCAGTTGATTAACAATATTCTTTGCACGCTCATTAATTTCCAAAGAAATCAGCCTTTTTTCTCTAATACATAGAAATCCATTGAACACCAAAAACGAAAAAATTATAATTGCCTCAAACAAAATTGTATTTAAGCGAAATTGATAAGGATTACTCATTATGGTGCCGCATATATAAAACGTAATCAAAAAAACAAAAGATATTAAAGTAAGAATAGTATCTGGACGGATCAAGAATTCATAAAGGTCTAAATGATAAACAATTGAAACGTGTTAGAATGTGAGAAAAAAATTATTAAAAATTACAGAACACATATGAATGAATATACATTTGCAAGTTTGCAATGGTGAATGGTGTTCATCAAGAATGTCATTTGCTATTTTAACCAATTTTCTACAAATGTGTATACAAGAATGCATCAATACGATTGTAAAAAGTCAATATATGATAAAAACCACTTACTCTAACGCTTGATCGCTTGACAGGCCACAATTTTTAGATCCTGAAGAACTTTCGTCATTAATTACCAAATCACTTGGTAGATCAGGTACCTCTTCATCATAGGTATAACAACGCATATTATTGCCTTCGTTCAACTTTAATTCAATCATGTATTCATCGTCGTCGTCGTCGTCGTCGTCTGAAGCTTTATTCAATTTTAGATGAGCTATATCTGAAATTGAAGCATTTATACGGGTTTCAGATAACGGACTAGAATGTTCAGAGACCGATTTTGCGCTACTTGATGAATCGTGTGGAAGTGAAACGGAAAGTTTTTGCGATTTTACATTATTTTCCTGAGAGGTTTCAAAGGAATTAGAATAGTCTTCCATATATTATAAAAGTGATGAAATTAAAAAATTTCGCAAATGTTGAACTTTTTTTAACGTTAACGGTTTAATTGGTGTCACGTAACACGACTTACGGGGAGAGTTAACATCTGGATTTATAATAATTGTCGTGAAATCGGATTAAACTGAAAAGAGGGATTTCTATTTGACTCCTAAAATCCACTTATACTTGTTTATTATAAATTCTGCCTCTAAACACTAACGCTAATGCTAACCCTTAAAAAATGCACCTCAAAAATTTGTATTTTTCGTGGCTTACATTATCACTCATTTTAATCAATAATTAAGAATAAAATCCGGCTTAATCCGGACATAATTAAATCCGGATATATAGTTACAGCTATTATCATTATTCCTGCCGAATGGTTATTCTGCCGATTCGATAAATTATTGATTTAGCCACGTACGAAGGTGCCAATCGATTTGTAAATTAAAACTCACGCGAAACTACAAGATCGCTACTTTCACTTCCTAACTATCTCATAAGTTAGACTTTTCTTCCATTAAAGTCTTAAGATATTTTATATCATTCAGGTTTAATAGACGTGATTTCTTACAAGTGGTGAAAGCCTTTCAAAGTTAACAAATAAGTGAAAATTATTTTTAGGGGTCCTAAAACGGAGTTAATTTAATATATGGGCTGCCGTCAATAGAAATCAAGCAGATTGACATTTTAAAAAAAATTGATGGCTTAACTTTCACTGTTCATATCTCAATGAATTTCTAAGCTGTTCTCATAATTGAATAGTCAAAAGAAAGCTTAGATCTTAAGCTTTCACTTGACTATTTATTCATGAGAATAGCTTTGAAATTCATCGATATATGAGCATTGGAAAGTAAGGAATTAATTTTTTTAAAAATGTCAATCTGCTTGATTTCTATTGACGGCAGCCCATATGATCTTCATACTGCATAAATTACATTATTGATATTCTATATAAGCCGCTAACCATAACTACATCAAAAAGGTAACTCTATAACTCACTCCGAATTAGCCATTTTGAAACTAACACCTATAACTCTTCTAAATTTTTTTCGATTGAATATGCTTCTAAATTATAATACTTAGAGTTATATCGATATTGGTTGTCTGGTCATTATCGATTAATAATTGTCACTGCACCATAAATAGATGTCATTTAAAGCCTTACAAATCGATTAGCATCTACGTACCACCAGGTTTTAGACCATCTTTGTAAATAATAAATGTTACATTGATCATGCCGAAATCAATAACTTATCACAAGGTGTCCCAAGAATAATGATAACAGCTGTAAATCCGGATATAATTATATATCCGGATTTACAGCTGTTCTCATAAATCTGATGAAAATTTATTTGGCCGAAATTAATTTTGCCGAATTCGATAAGTTTTTAATATCGGTACATAAGCTTTTGTTTCGGTATGATCGTTGATATATAAAAAGAAATTTCTGTATCACATGTACTACTTTTATTCTCACATGTGAGTGTAAAAATTGTCGATTCAACCATCTTTATTAAACTTTCGTCTTAATGTTTGTCCAATTTGTATGATGTGTTTAGTTTGTACTAAAACCTACGGCAATGATTGTTCTTGTAAACCAACAGACTACACTTGAAACGCAAAAGAAGTTCTGATCATAAGTTAAACTTTATTAATAAGCATATTACATGATTAGGCACTAATAAAAAAAAGGTAAAATATGATCAAGAATTTGTTGATTGGTTCAGAAGAAATGTAACTCAAGTTGAGATTACAAAAAATCAAGATTTTATTAATATTTGTTAAGAATGTGTTGAGAATTATAATCAACAACATCAAAGTAAATATTTTTTTTATAACTTTCACATTATCAAAGTATATTAATAAAATTTATGAAACAAAAAAAAAACTTGTATGAATTAAGTGAAGTCATTGAAACAATAGATTTGACAAACAAAGAGCCATTAGAACCATTGGGTAATTCATCTATAATAAATTCTTTAGAGTTATCTGATTTATCTAAAATAACAAATAATAAGATTATAAGATCAGAAACTATTAAAGAGTTTGTTATTAATAAGTAATAATATTTACATTATAATATTATATATAATTAATAAAAAATATTATTATAGTACTATAGTGTTATGATGTTACTCAGTTGTTAATACAAATTGATTAGAGGTTAAGAGATTGAAAAGTTTGACTAAGTACAGAAGCAAGCATATACTACCAAATAATAATAAGCAAATACTTGTATTAAATTATATATTAAGACTCTAATAAAAATATAATAATGAGCAAACACATACAAATATATAGGTATTTTTCTACAAGCAAAGTAATTTATGCATATTACTAATATAAATTAGAAAATAATAAATATTAGTTCAAACTTCAAAGTAATGAGTTATATAAATTAAGTAAAATTAGCAAATGTTATTTATTATCAAACAATAATTAAGACAATAATAATGCCTAACACAAAACTAAAAAAAAATAACATAAAAGAACCATTCAAAATAAGAGTCAAAAAATTAGAACAAAAAAACTCAGAAGACAGAAAATGACAACAATATCATTATCAACAAGTATACAATTAAAGAAATATATAAACCAACTTTTGCAAACTTTAACTACAACATTTATAGCAATGATCAAACAAGTAATTAACCAACAATTTGAACAACAAAAGCAGTAAAATAAGCAGTTACAATAAAATATTAATAAAAGACTAATTTTGCTAAAACAAACAAGTTTAAATACTAATATAAACTAATTATCTAACAATAAGACTATTAGCTTTAACACAAGTTATATAAAAAATCTAACATCTAAACAGCTATATCAAAAAGCAAATTCTAATAATATAAGGTTAACAAAACTAATTATTACAAATAAAAATAATAATAATTAAGATAATTATTTATTAATATTAATTTTTAATAATTTAATAATAAATACAGATCAAATACATAAATAATAATAAAATAATAGATGTATTTATATAGTTCTATTATCAAGTAATATATCAGTAAACTAACAGTTATTTATATTATAAAAAGATTAAATGTAAAGATTAGTTATATAATATAATATACCTTTAGTTTCTTATTATTCTTTTAATATATATAAAGGAATAAAATAAAAAAAATAATAATAGTAAACTAATAGATGTCAGTATCAAAATAGGATTTTTTTTTTGATATTAAGATGAGGCTTTGCTTATATCTTTATTAGTAATTTTAGTTGTACATATTAATATACTATATACTAAGATATACTAAGATTGTAAACT